GACAAAAAAGTGCCATTTTAATTACATAAAATAAAAGAGCTTTTGCATCAAAAAAATAAAGATAGAATTAGAAGAGAACCTGTTGGATGGGAAAACATATTTTCCTTTAATATCATTTATAAGATAGTACATCATAATGGATAGAAGGCTCACCTCAAAACCAGAAAGACCTAGGTTCAAGTCCCACTTCTGATACATTCTCACTGTGTGACTAGGAAAAGGCACTCAACCTCTCAGAGCTCTAGGCAAATCTCAAAGATTCTAAGTTGCAGAGGAGGTCTCCACCAGCAGCTACAGGAAAAATTCCTCACCAAGAATTTCCTGTATCAGTGAAATCATAGATCCAATCCCTATCCTCATCCTATTACTGATAAAAGTCTGATATTCAATATTTAAAGAGAAATTACACACACACACACACACACACACACACACACACACTGAAGAACCAGTTCCCATAGACAGAAGTCAAAAGAAATGAAAAAGGTTTTCAAAATAATTTCAAACTAAAAATGGCCACATGAAAACATGTTCCAAAACACTGATTGTATGAGGAATGTGAATCAACACAATTCTGTGTTTTCATCATATCTGCTGAAAATTGGCAAAGATGACAAAATCAGACACAGTCAATGTTCGATGGGCTGTGAGAAGACTAAAATTAATGCTCTTTAGATGGGGCCACAAACTGGTCCAAACATCTGGGATATCAATTTGAAATTATGCACGAAAATTGGCTAAATTCCTTCCCAAGCATCTCACTACTGTGTATTTACACCCTATGGAAGTCAAAGACGGAAACTAAGTCATAATATATTTATAAATATTAATTGCACCATTTTTTTGTGCTGGAAACAAAGTAGAAGCCTATCAATTGAGGAATTGCTGAATAAAATCTGGCATATAAGTGCAAGGCAATATTGTTATGCAGTAAGAAATGACTAATATAAGGAATTCGGAAAGAACTGGGAGGATTTGTATGAACCAATGCAAAGTGAAAGAAGCAGAACCTAAAGAATAATACATATGATTAAAACAATATAAATGAAAAATCACTGTAAGGAAGCCCAACTAAAGGCAATTAAAATAAATAATGTTCCTAGAAAACAAAATAAAAATACTTTCCTCTTCTTTGGAGAAAGATGGGGTATTGCTGGAACAAAATGGCATACATACACATATCAGAAATGGCCGCTGTTTAGGGTATTTCTACTTAACTGTTTTCCTTTCTTACACAGGCGGATTCAAATTGGAGGTGGTGGAAAAGGGCTTATTCTCAGGAACAACGGTGTTATAAAAACCAAAGGCATCGATGCAACTTCACATGATATAGTTGATAGGATGCTAGACTGGGAGGGAGGCATGGAAACTGAGGTTTAAATCCTATCCCAGATACTTACTAGTTGTGTGACCTTGGATAGGTCACTTCACTTGTCTTTGTCTCAGCTTCCTTATCTGAAAAATTAGCAGTTTGGACTCAGTGACCTCTAAGGTACTTTCCATTTCCTAATACATATTATTAATATACAGGCATATATGTGTGTGTGTGTGTTGTATAGGCACATATATGTATGTCTATGTGTGGGTGTGTGTATAGTGTATGTGTGTGTGTGTTTGTGTAACCCAAAGCCCATTAATGGCATGGGACTCTCTACCACTCTTGACAACTCCACCCCCACCCCCACTCCTCAAGCATGCATGGGGTATTGATCTTCACTAATAAGGAGTCCATACCAATGGGCTTTGGCAATGAGGCAATATATACATAAAGAAATTAACTGAAAAATATATGGAAAGTGATGCTGGTGCCCAAATGAGAATGTCAGCCTGAAATAACCCAAGTTTAATAATTCTCCAAATATCTAACTTCAAAATATAGCCATATAAATTAAGCAAATGTAAACACAGGTATTCAACAATGTTATAGGACGTGCTTATCTAAAATGTGTGAAATAAAATTTCAGATCTATGTCCCAAAAAATTGCTCGGAACACTCAGACTTAAGGAGCTATGAAGTGCCTCCTATCTAGAAAACAGGGAATAATTACTCTAATCAGGCATTTAACAGACATTTATTAAGTGCCTATTATATGCAGTTGACTGTGCTAACTAACTACCAAAGGTGATATAAAAAGGAATAAAACAAAGTCCTGTTTATTATTTATTATTTAGGCAAGGGTTTTACAACTGGAGGTCCATGGATCTATAGGGGTCCATGGACAAATTTTAGGGGGCCTGTGAACTTGGACAGGGAAAAAAATACATCTTTATTTTCACTAGCCTCCAAGCGAAATTTAGCATTTCCTTCAATTATGAATGTGGGCAACAAACATTATTCTAAGAAGGGGTCCATAAATTTCTCCACACCACCAAAGGATCCAGGACACAAAAAAAGGTTAAGAATCCCTGATTCTAATAGAATCTACCTCACAGGGTTGATGTAGGAAGAAACTGAGATTTTATGACGTTCAATAAAGATATTTGATAAAGTTACACTTGTATCACTGATCCATTACTGGCTATATTAACTAAGAAGAAAGAAACGTGAATAAGTTTGAAGAAAAGCCAAAAATATGGAATGTGGCATATGCTGGTCAGACCAGGTCTGATGCTTGTTTTTGCTTAAATGTTATCCTTACTTACAAGGGAGGAGTGGCATGGGGTGCGGGAGGGGCAGAACACTGCCTAAGGGAAAATTATCACAGTCACACAAAGCACCAATCAAATTAGTTTTTTTAAAAAATGAAAGGGGTGGGAGAGACATATATGACCCAAAAGCCTGCTTTTGGACAAGAGTTACTTGGAACTAAGTCCTTAATTTCTTCCTTATTTCTCTGTCCCTCTCTTCTCAGAAAAGCATGGAAAATGACTGCTAGTTTACCTTCTCTTTCTGGTTGACACCCCAAACCACCTCCTCTTTCCCAGAATATGGGGACAAAGTCACTTGATGGTCTTTAAATTGGGTTGAGCAATCAACTATTGGCTTCAGCTATGCAACTGTTCTACAGGTTTGAAGTAAACAACAACAAACAATGGAACGAAATGAAGGAGAAATGTGTTCACTTGGAAATGTGTTCAGAGACAGCTAGCTGGTGCAGCGGATGAAGGGCTGGATCTGGGGTCAGGAAGAACTGAGTTCAAATCCTGTCTCAGACACTTACTGGCTGGGAAAGTAACTTAACCTCTCTCAGTTTCCTCATTTGTTGGATGAGGATAATAATAGTACCTATTTCTCAGGGTTGTTGGTAGGATAAAATTAGATACTTATACAGTGCTTAGCACAGTGCCAGAATATACTAAATGCTATATAATGCTAGTTATTATTATTGTTGTTGTCATCATCATCATTATTATTACTTGTACTGGTTGGGAAAGAACAATAGCTCTCAAAGGGTATTTCATACACACACACTCTCAAGGTTTCCACTGAGTGTCCCAAGAATCATATGGAACTTCCATTTGCATGCTCCAATCTCTGCCAATTATACAAAACCTACAGTTCTATTTGAGTCTCTCCTCTTGTGTGAAGATTCTTCACAACAAAGAATAACACTGTTCTATGAGCAAAAAAAGTCTGAAGACCTCTAGGATAGAGATTTGTTAAAACTGGAACACTGTGAATCCTGTCAATAATTTTTAAATTATTATGTTAAATTTTTAAAAATTAAAAATTTTAATTTTTAAAATTATTTTAAAATGTTACTTGTGTCATATTACTTTAGGGTTGGATAAGACAGGGAGCATAGCATAGTGGAGCCTCGAAGTCAGGAAGACCTGGATTCAAGTCCTGACTCTGACACATACTGGCTGTGTGACCCTGGCCAAGTCACATTCCCCCATAGTGCCCCTTGCACCTTTCTAAAGACAACTGCTTTCTAGGGACAACTGATTATTTAAATTAGTGGAGGTACTGGCAGTTTCCTTTGCTGGTGAAATTATGAGTCAAGACAGAAAAACAACTATAATTTTTAGTGAAGAGGCAACCTTAGGTTCTCAAAGGCCCTATCATAGAGGCAGAACAAGTCATTTAACCTCTGAGCCTCAGTTTCCTCATCTGTAAAATGTGGATGATAATAAGAGCACCCACATTACAGGGCTATTATGAAGATTAAATGAGATAATATTGTAAATTATTTTGCAAACTTTCAAAAGCTATATAAATGTTAGCTATCATTATTTGAGCGTGTGATCTTGCAGGCCTTCCCATCTGAGAAATAGTGTTGGGGAACAGATGGAGTACTGCACTTGGAATCAAGAGGACTTGGATTCAAATCTCACCCTAGATATTTACTTGTTGTGTGAACCTGGACATATCACTTCATCATTCTTTTCTTCATTCTCATCTGTAAAATGAGGGGTTTGGACTCAGTGGCCTCTAAGGTCTTTTACTAGCTCTAAATCTGTGAGCTTATGAGCCTATGACCTGGAAAGGGTCCAAATATGATAAGACTATTGATAAATGAGGATGTTTCCCCCCTAAGGACTAGCCCAGTGAAGCACAGCTGATTGAGGTTCCTCACCAGAGGATTAGCAATAAAGGGTCAATAGCATCAAAATCAGAAGTTGTGCACGAAGATGTAAGAACTTTGCAATTTGTGTCAACACAGGAGTAGTCATCCTGATGAAACTACAGATCTTTTGAAGTGTTACATTAACAAAATTTATTAAATATCTTTGGAGACAAAAAACGACAGATGACAGATGTTGGGGGATGGTACAAAATGATCCAAAGTATTTGATAGTATTTAACAAAGAGAAAAGGCAATGCTGTTTTTAAGAGCTGATGAACTATTCTAATAGACTTCATTTTGGTAAGGAATGGAGAAGAATCATGAGGTTTTCCCATGGCAGCTATTTGTGTTTTTTCTAATCATTCTCTTTTTACAAGAGGCACTGATGCACCCAAGAGCCCACATCTAGCTCATTCTTTCCCTAGCTCCCTCCCAGCTTCCCTCTCTCCTTCCTTCTCCACCAATAACAGTGTGTTCTGCCATACCTACCATTATGGTGTGTTCTGGGAATTTGGCTCGGACAAGTTTCACAAATTCCACAAAGTGCTCGGAATATCCGTTGGCCACATCCAGACAAATATATTTAATCTGTGGCACAGCCTCCAGGATACTGCTCATCCTGTCCAGGTCACTCTGTCCACTGCCTGAGCTCACGGCTACATGCTGGACACATGAAAAAACATACATGAATGGCAATGCTCAGGAAAACAGTCTCAACTGCAACCCACTCACCAACAACGTACAGAGGAACATTCCTCACTGATCATGAGGAGCCAGTTTTGAGATAACTGACCTCAGTGTAAATGAAGTTGACCAGGTCATTAAACTGACCTCAAAATCAGGAACCCCGAGTTTACATCCCATTTCCACCATTAACTCACCCTATGTCCTCATACCAGGATTTTGACCATAACACCTTTTCAGAAATCAACAAGCTCTTGGTTATTCTGGAAACCTCTCTTTCTTCTTCTCTTCCCTCATTTCCTTAATCAGTGTATACACTGGCAAGGATCAATCAACCAACTAATAAGCAGTTACTACACACCAGGTAAATGGCACATAGTCAATATACTAAAGGGACAGCTAAGTGGCACCATGGATAGAGCTCTGGGCCTGGAGTCAGGAAGAGCTGAGTTCAAATTCAGCTCAGACACTTACCAGCTGTGTGATTTTGGGTAAATCACTTAATCCTATTTATCCCATTCCTTATTTGCAAAAAGAGCTGAAGAGGAAACAGTAAAGCATTCTAGTACCTTTGTCAAGAAAAGCCCAAGTGGGGTCACAAAGAATCAGACATGACTGAAATAATAAAAAAAACAACAAATATGCTAAATGCTGGGGATACAAAGACCAAAACAAAGCAATCCTTGTCCTCACATAGCTTAACTTCTAATGGGGGAAATGTAATTCAAGAAATGTTAACAGAGATCATGGATATAGAGTTCAAAAGACCTCAGAGCCCATCTATTCCAATTCCTTGTTTTACAGATAAGGAAACTGAGCCCTGAGAGCTGAGGTGACTTGTCCAATAGAGTGTCAGAAGCAAGATGACTTGCAGGTCCTCCAGCTCTAGAGCTGCCATTTTTTCTAGTGTACCAATATTATGCATCCTCTCAATAGATGGAGGCAGCTGTGTGCCATGAAGAGCACTTAGGTCCTGAAGTCAGAAAGCCGGGTTGAAGTCCCCACTCTGAGGCAAGTCACTTAGCATCTTTGAGCCTCAGTTTTTTTATCTCTACAGTGGGGACAACAATATTTGCATTACCCATCTCCCGAGCTAATTGTGAAGATGATGCGCTGTTGGAAGTACTACAGAAATATAAGCTGATAAAGCAGGCAACCGTGAAAGCTGCATGGACGATCATCTGCTTTCAAAGTCTGTCTCCTCATGTGTACGCTATGTAGGACGCTAGATAATGTGGTCGATGGAGTGCCGGGTTGAGTCATGAAGACCCAAATTCAAATCCTGTTTTTATGTGCTTCACTTTCTTCCAATGTAAGCTTCTATGTCTAAATCTTATTTTTTTTTCAATTCAATTCAGTTAGGATTTATTCATTTTGTTTTTTGCAGCATTTATTTATTTTATTCTGAACTTAAGAAATAAAACAATCTAGCTCTAAATCTATGATTTTATGATCCTAATCCAACCCAGGTAGTGCATTAGGTGCTGAAGACACACACACACACACACACACACACACACACACACACACACAAACCAGGCCTTATCTTTAAAAAGTTTACATTCTACTCAAAGAAGTTGATTTCTGTCTCTACCCTTCCCTTTTTCACAGCTGGGCAGCCTGGTACAGGCCCTCATCATTTCAACACCTGGACTGTTACAGTAGCCTTCTCATTGGCCTCCCTTCCTCAAGTCTCTTTCCCACTCCAATTCATCCTCCACTCAGCTACCAAAAATCATCTTCCCAAATCACAGGTCTCACTATGTCACCTTCACACTCAGCCAGCTCCAGTGCCTTCCTATTACCTCTGGGATCAAATATAAAGCCCTCAGTCTGGCTCTTAAAGGCCTTTGCAACCTGGCCTTTTCCTGCCTTTCCAGTCTTCTGATACTTTGCTCCCCTCCACTGTATTCGGTGATCCATATCTAGGGATTTTGGCCTTATTGTTCCACACATAAAATACTCCATCTTCTTGACTGTATCTTTGCACTGGCTGGAATGGTCTCTTTCCTCACATCTCCTTAGAACTTACCTTCTACATGAAGTCTTTTTTTCTATCTTTCTCATAGCCACTTCCTAACTTCTCAGATCACTTTCCATGTATACTACATTTTTCTTGCATTTATATAGTTATTCACATGTTGTCTCTTCCATTAAAATATATTATCTTCGAGGTTAAACAATGTTTCTGCCTATCTTTGTGTGGCCAAGATTTGGTGTAGAATGCTTGTTGACTAACTCCTCCAATCCCCCTCTCCCCAACTCTAATGATTTTGGCCACCTCTTCCTCTCCCTCTCCCCTCCACATACTCAAGAAAAATTCTACTCGTTTACACTTTAATATAGTCTTAAGTAAGGGATTCTCCCTGTAGCAGGCAACTGCATTTTAAACTTTATCTCCTTTAAAAACATTTCTCTATGGGGGACAGGCCTTTCATCCCATTGAAATCACACTCCTCCCAGGCCTTGTTATCTGAGTGCTCGTGTGAATCCATTTCCATTTTAACTCAATCTATATTCCTTCTTTCTTAGAATAATAGTCATAATAATAATTCATTATTCATATAGGATTGTACTGTTTCATAACTATCTCTAGAGTGGGGAGAGGGGAAAAAAGAAATTTACATGATAATTTTGTTGTATGTTTGAAAGAAATAGCAAGTTATGAGTAGTAAATTTGCAGTTTCACCTGCATGCAGTTTCATCCTTTTTATTGTACTATCATGGAAATGCTTGTTTTATTCCATAAATTGAAAATAAAATTCTTAAAAGGTTAAAAAAATATTTTAGTGTACCTTATCTTAACTGACCCTCACCACAATCCTCTGATGTAGGTGACACAATACAATTTATCCCATTTTATAGATAAAGAAACTGAGGGTCACAGACATTAAATAAACTGCCCAGAAAGATTAAGTCTGGCAAGACCCAGGACTCAAGTCTTCAGCCTATATCCAGCTGCCTCTCACTTAAAATTTGGCTACCTTCATTTGCCTGTCTGGTAGAAATTTGTTTTCAGTCTTCCATATTGAATCAAATGTATACACCTGGTATCTTGCAAATCTAATCAAAGGGGTTTTAAAACTGAAAAGGAAGGGAGGTGAAGGGAGGGAGAAAAAATTATCTACATACATCTACCTAGTTATTAAACAAAGAAGGTAGCAAAAAGAAAAACAGCAGTAGATACACCCCTCAAATTCCCAGGAGACAAAATCCAAGAAAAATTCTGGTAGTCAGGCCCACAGACTCAGATACACAAAGTATGAGTGACGAACAAGGTAGACAGGAGATAATAATGATAATGATAGTAACAACAACATCTAACATTTATTTGTGCATACTACGTGCCATGCACTGTGCACATTACAGCTATTATTTCATTTAATCATCACAACAACCCTGGGAGAGAAGCAGCTAGGTGGCGCAGTGGATAGAGCACTGGCCCTGGATTCAGGAGGACCTGAGTTCAAATCCGGCCTCAGACACATAACACTTACTAGCTGTGTGACCCTGGGCAAGCTAAAAAACAACAACAACAACAACCACCCTGGGAGTAGGTGTTATTATTATTCCCATTTTACAGTTGAGGAAACTGAGGCAGACAGAGGTTAAGGGACTTGCCCAGGGTCACACTATTAGTGAGTATCTGATGCCAGATTTGAACTCAGTTCTGACTCCAGGACCAGTGTTCTATCCACTTCACTACCTAACTACCCCTAAATTTTAAAGGAGGCAAATTTGATCTCATATGTTTCACTGACATTTGATGGGATGAGATCCATTACTGGAAAATGATGTTGGAAGTGTATACATTGTACCTTATTCAAATGAAACAGAAGAGTTAAAACATAATGGAATTGGAGGATGAGATTAAGAGGGAAGTGAGGAGTTACAGAACAGGATAGACTCACGGGGGGCCTCCAGGAATCAGAGGAGGAAAAAGCATAGCACAGAACATTTGGGGGAGTATCAGTGGAGGCAGAAACAGAACTATATGGGCATCAAAGTATACTGCAGACCCCTTGGACACATGGATCTGCTGTATGCTCTCCTGGTCAGGCTACATGGAGTGTATTTTGTTCTGTTCTGAGAGGTGCATTTTACAAATAACACTAATAAGAGGAAGAGTATTTAGGAAAGGGTGACCAGACAGGTCAAAGGCCTGGAAATCAAATCACACTTGTAGTAACTGAGGATGTTTGGTCTGGAGAAGAGAATTAGGGGAGGCTTGATAACCATCTTTAAGCATTTGAAAGAATGTCTTGTGGAGGCAGCATGACATAGTCCAGCAGGGGTGGGGAACCTGTGGTCTTCTAGGTCCTTGGCTACAGCCTTTTAACCGCGTCAAAATTTTACAGAACAAATCAGATTTTCAGAGTTCATAAGGGAAGGTTGAGGTTCTGATTAATGAAAGGTTATCCAAAACTACATTTACAGAAATGAAGGTTTGGGGGAAAAAAATCATTGCTTACTCATCAACAATTTTCTCAAAAGGTTGTTGGAAGACAAAAGAGAAGAGAAAATAGTCATCATTCACTTGCAAGTTGTAAAATGAAAATAAAATATCAGCTGCTCAGTCACTGAGCTAGAGTCACAGGAATCTTTTATCTTAGAGAACCATCTTCTCATTAATCAGAATCCAGACATAATTAATGTACCGGCTCAAACAGCAGCAATCAGAATGAGGTGACAGAACTTGGCAATCACAGAGTGACCTCGTTCAGTCCCATGGAGAGCATCTCTAATGTGGCTTATGAGAATTTTCTGTTAGCACTGCCTCAGAAACCATTGTAAAAAGCCCTTAGGAATGAAGAAGGAAGAAAAAGAGCTGGCCCTGTCTGCCTTTCTTTGCCATCAAGCTTGCTTTTTCTTTGTTGAAAGGTATGACTAGTAGTTGCTGCTTTTATATTCAGAAGTTATATTAAGATTGGATTCAGCTTGGAGTTTCAGGCTAGAAACAGAGGTCATATTTCTCAGCTCTCCCACTCAAAACTGTTAATGGCCCAAGGGAAACCAAAGACATTTTCTGTAAGAAACTCAAGCACGTCCTATTGTATGTGACTGGATTCCTTGAGGTGACTCACTCCCATCTGACTTTTATCCCCATTGTCTCTGTTGTAATACTGCCACATATTAATTCCGCTTCTGGGACAGATCCCTGCCAGTTTCTCTTTGTCTACTCATGTCATTTTTCTTCTCCAAATCTCTATAGCAATTTAATATTTACAAATCACTCCACAGCTACCTTGGGAGGTGGATATTACAGGTATTATTACAAAGTTTGCTGTTCAGCTGGTTCAACTCTCCATGACCCAATTTGGGATTTTTTTGGCAGATATATTGTAATGGATTGCCATTTCCTTCTCCAGCTCGTTTTACAGATGAGGAAACTGAGGCAAATGAGGTTAAGTGACATGCCCGAGGCCAGATTTGAACTCAGGAAGTTGAGTCTTCCTGACTCCAGGCCCGGCACTCTATCTACTATACCACCAAAGTCCAGTGTCCTTTCTGCTGTAACATGCTAGTTGTCAAAACAGAATTATCAAGAAAAAAAAAGGTAAGGAGCTTTCCCTATCACACAAAACTCTACATTACTTGCTTTAATCTAGTAAAAAAAATAATTCTTTCGGAGCAGCTAGGTGGCACAATGGATAGAGCACCAGTACTGGAGTCAGGAGGACCTGAGTTCAAATCTGACCTCAGACACATAACACTCACTAGCTATATGACTCTGGGCAAGTCACTTAACCCCAACTGCCCTCTCAAAAAAAAAAATTCTTTGAACAGTTTGCTGGTGATTCCATATGGGATCAGAAAACACCTGAAAGCAGTTCCCTCTTTTGATAGCAGTTTATCTTTGGATCCCAGTCTCTAGGACAGTAAATATTCACAGGACCAATCTACAGGAACACAGATGTAGAGCTGGAAGAGACAATCTAATCCAATCCCCTCATTGTGCAGTTGATTAAGCTGAGGCCCAAGGAAGCTAAGTGACTCACTCACACTCACACAGGTGGATAAATGTCAAAAGTAGGATTTGAACCCAGGTCCTCTGATTTTAGAAGCAGCTCGCTTCCTTCTATCAGGTTGCTCCTCTCCATTTTATTCTCTCTTAATTCTTTGACATCTTCATCTTAACAGCAGAACACAGTGACTTTTACCAGATTCTCCTTAGTTTGGATCTTGTCAGTTGCCTAAACAATACATAAACCTCTTCCTTTGCTATCCCCATCCTTTTAAAAAAATCAATCTGGTTTCTTCTATTTTTAGGTCTTCATTCTCCCAGGAGGCAGCACTGTCCAACTGCTTAATTGAATCTACCATTGGAGACCCTCTTAGAGACAGGATCATAAAATCACAGAACCGAGTCCCAGAATCCCGGCAGTCATCTAACCCAAGTCCTTTACACAGGACACTCCACTTGAGCCAGCTTTCTCTATAAAAATACCGCAGACTATATTTAAAATACAATGATTCTACCTTTCTAATCCAAATACCCTTGAAAACGCAGGCTTTTTTTTCTTCCCAATATAACATATTTATTGCTTGACATGAGTCAAATGATCAATAATCATGATGTGATCATACCTCCAGGCATTCTGGGTGATTGGTGGCAAACAGCTTCCAGTCCTCCAGGGTGTAATGCTTATGAATTGCTGTGAACATGGCATGCTGGGAAACAAAACAACATCATTAGAGTTAGAAGCCAGGTCAGCCCATTTTCCTTCTGTCCATATGGCAGATATTATCTCACAACCTCAGAGTATCCATTTTACTGACACTTACATGTACCTTGCTTTGCATATGTTCCCAGGAAGTAACAGGCAGCTAAGATATCTGGGTAAGTAATGACACTCACAAAAAGTTTTTTCCAGATTGGAAAGCACCTATAATGAGAGGAGCATCTATAACTAGGCCAGTAAGGCCTTACCATGAGTGGATGAGAGAGTCCTCAGAGATTCTGTATACCTTGCTCAGGACTCCATGTCACCACTGTAAATGACTAAAAGAATCATTCCTATCAAGGGAACCTTTCATTGTGTTTCTAAATCAAGCCCATGTCAAGGCAGGGCTGCATCAAGACTGTTTTCCCTCCGGTAGCTGATTCCAATGCTGGTTCTCAAGAAGCTCTCCCTTGTACCTAACCTAAACCTGGAATAGTTGAGTTGTTACTGAGGCAATGTGGTGTGATAGTAAGAGTTCTGCACAGACCAGGAGGCTTTAGGAAGTGAAAAAAGCACTGAGGAAAATAAAAATGGGAAAGAACAACTGGAATAGATTTAATACACAAAAAAGAGGTCCATCCTAGAGGTGATAATTTTGAGGGCATGGAGGTATATAAAAGAGGGGAGAACTCCAATGACTTCCCAAGAATAAAGGCTCCCTCTTTTCAATACTGATGTTTTTCTAGTGGTTGTGTATAGCTACAAGATTAGAGTGTAAGCTCCTTAAGGACAGGGACTGTCTTTTGCCTCTTTTTGTATCCTTAGCTCTTAGCACAGTGCCTGGCACATAGTAGGTGCTTAATAAATGTTTATTGAATTGAATTGACAAAGACAGAGAATACTTCCATTTTTGAGAATTAAAACTGAAGATCAAAAGAGTAATGGAAGCCCACAAAGTTGCTGTGAGCAGGCCATAATATATTACCAAAAAAAAAGAAAAAGAAAAAGAAAAGAAAAGAAAAAAGAGAAAGGAAAGAAGGAAGAAAGGAAGGAAGGAAGGATTACACTGACTAAAATGGAGTAAAGGATATAATCAAAAGAAATGTATGACCCCTGCTTCTCCCCCCCAAATAAAAGAGCTAGCCTGTTCTCATCTTAAGAATGAGGGAAACCCAGTGGAGAGTCTGTTTGCTCCACTGGTAGCCACACAATGTCAAAAGAATGTAAGAAAGTCCCCCAGAACAACAGGTAGAGCCCCAGTGGTGAATTAATTGGAGGACATGGATAAGGATCACATCCAGTGAGTAGGTATGGAGGGATAATAATTTACATTGCTGGAGGGCACAGGCACATTGATGAGATTAGTAACAACCAAGTATTTATTAGGCACCTCTGTAGGCACTGTGGTAGGTAAAAGAATGAAACTCTCTACTAGTAATGAGCTTATAGCAACTATATATGTGTATATACAACTATATGTACACATGTACATGTATATAACTATAAGTATATACATACATATACATAAACATAAATAGCACAAATATAAAGTGAATAAATACAAATATGTACAAAGTAGTTAAATAAAAGGTTGTTTGAGTTGGGAGGCTTGCTGTATCTTACAGAAGGGGAGGGACTCTATGAGGCAAAGGTAAGGAGGAAGCACATTCCAGGCATACAGAGACACAGAGATGGAAGATAGATTGCCATGTGTGAGGAAGAGAGAGGTGGCCAGTTTGTCTGGACCACAGAGTGTGGGAGGGGAAATAATGTCCAATGAAGCTGGAAAATAGATCATGGTCAAGTTGTATAAGGCTTTAAAAGCTAAAGAGAGTTTGTATTTTATCCTAAAGCAAATAAGAAACCACTGGAGCTGAGTGAAATATGAGCTTAAGGAAAATTATTATTAGGTTACATATCTGTTGGAGTATTGGAGTACAAAATCCTGTATTCAGGTTCCAAAACCCACTGCACAAGCACAGGATATGGAAAACCTAACCAGAGAGTAAGACATGGATTTTCATTGGCTAGAAATTCAATACGAGTCAATAATGTAGCGTGGTGCCCAAACAAAGCACACACAGTCTTAGGCTTTATTAATAGATTATAAAATCCAAAATAACGGAAATATCAGTTACACTGTGCTCTATACAGAACATGTCTGGTTTATTGAGTTCAGAGGTTAAGATGTCACATTTTAAGAGACACATGACAATATCCAGATGGAACACAACCAAGATGGTGAGATGACCTGAACTTAGGTCATTTGGGAGTTGTGTGAATAAGTTAACCTGGAGAAGAGAACATTTAGGGGAGATGTAAAAAGAACTCTTCAAAGATCTGAAAGACTGTAACATGGAAAGCAGATTAGACTTAGTCTTTGGGGCTTCAATAGGGAAAACCAAGACTAATGGGAAGAAGTTATATGGAGTCAGATTTCAAGTCAATATAGGGAAGAGCATCCCATCAATGAGATGTCTAAAATTGGAATGGGTCACTTCCTCATCTATAAAATAGGAGTGATAGCCTAGGTGGAGAAGTGAATAGTTCACCAGGCCTTGAGTCAAGAAAACTTGAGTTCAAATACAGCTTCAGATAATTATTAGTTGTGTGTCCATGGGCAAGTCACTCAAATTCTATTTGCCTCAGCTTCTTCAAATGTAAAATTGGGATTATAATAGCACTTACCTCCCTTGGCTGGGAGGATCAAATGAGATGATTGTTAGGTGTTTAGCACAGTGCCTGGCACATAGTAAGTGCTATGTAAATGTTAGCTATTAACAGTAATAATGATGATGATGCTTGGATTATTTACCTCACTTGTTTGTTATGAAAAACTTGAAGCATTAGAGGGCTCCAAGAAGCTCTTTGAGAGTAAGGACTGTTTTCTGCCTTTCTTTGTATCCCCAGAGCTTAGCAACATGCCTGGCACACAGTGCTTAATAAATGCTTGTTGACTTGACTTTATGGGACAATGAGAATACTTTGTTACTGGAGGCATTCAATTATAAGCTGGATGATACCTATCGAGGACATTGGGTAGAAATTTATGTTCAATGATTTCTAAGGTCACTTGTATGATTTTTATGATATGATTCCAAATCCATTTGCTAAGTATGGACACTGTTCAAAATAGTTTTCATCGTAACGATAAATCCCAGTAACTCCTGTGACTAGATTAACTACCTTCATGAGAAACACCCTTTTTTTAGCCAAAGATTTTTCTTTTCCCTCTTATCACTCTGGCCACCAAAATAGATTCACAATCATCACATACAGAATCATCACTCTCAAGGGAGCATTTACTAAGGGCCTACTATGTGCAAAGCACTATGGTGTGCAGTAGGAAGCCAAAGAAATAAAAGACAAGTTTTTCAAGGGGTGCATAATTGTTCTAATTCAGGCTGACGGTAACTAAAGTTGAATGGGAGAGGCATTTCCTGGAAGAGGGTAGGGTGGAGTGGCAAGTCTGTCTTTCATCTTGAATTGGTATTTCAAGTTCAAGATGAAAAGGGGGGAAAAAATCACAAGACCAGAAGAGATAATCTTATAGCACTATCAAAATGATTTTTAAAAGACAGATTATTATTTAAAGTGCAACTAAAAGTTCAGTCTTTAAATCTTGACATCATAACTCTTCTCTTTAGCACCAACCAGGCAATTTAGCTTCTTAATGCTTCAAGCTCCCCAAACTAGGTTTTGTGAGACAAGGGTGGGGAAGAAAGGATGCTGATCTACGGTTCCCCATTCAATGTATCATCTTTAGTTTTATCTGGTTGCAGCAAGTGAAGAGTTGATCTCACTAAAGTTTCTGATGAGGAGTTGAGCAGAAGAACCATCATGGCTGCTCTATTTCCCCAAATGAAATAAGCTAAATCTTTTTTTTTCTCCTCCCATCATTGCTGCATCAATAGCTGGCTGATCAAGCACTCATGGGAACTCATATCAACCTGCAAACATCCGAAGCGCAACTTTCCAGTTCCCAGCTACAGAGGAGAAAGAGGAAGATCCTTCCTCCCCCAACAAATTACCTGAGTCATCACCGCTGCCATCTCAAATGTACCAACTGTATCCATGTTGGACACAATGATAGGGATCCCAGAGTAGGTCTGCTTGGAGTTGCGAAATGTGAAGCTGCATTTAAGATCTACCTGTTGGGAAAAATGAAAAGGTAAGTGAGTTCTCCATGTCCTCTTTGGGCTTTCCCACGTGGCTGGTTCAGAGCATGAGGGATTTAGTGGAGATGGGGTTGGGAGGTGGGCAGAACGTAAATGAAGAACATGGCTCAGTGAATCCATTCTGGTGTTAGGAGATTAGTTTTCTACAAAATAATAAAGTACGTTCTTTGTATACCACCAGGGACAAAAGGCAACAGGTTACATTCAAGTTAAATTCTGAAATCTTCTTTGTTGGGTAAATCTGCTACAATTATTTCTTTGCAAAACTCACGCAGACCAAAAATGATGTTCTGCCACAAAATAAAGCTCCCAATCAGAGGTATTAAAGCCTTATACTATTAGGCCCTTCTTTTCCTAACTTCCCAAACTGAACCTTACTTTCCAGTTTATGTTCTTCATTCCAGCTCTGAAAGCTCATCTGTTGCCCTTGCTTACTCTACACATTTCCCAAACCATTCTTCACTGAAATTCTCCCTGCCAACTTCTTTGCCAAAACTCTTTTGAAACTGGTTAGATTTAAAAATCACTTCCTTCATAACTAGTCCCATCCAGAACCAGACCTTTTAATCACTGTTTCATCATCTCCACATAATCTATCCTTTATCTTTTCTAGCTCCTCATCTGCTTCGCTTTCACAAGTCCATCTCTGCACAGCTGTGGTTGGGCCCATGAGTGAGTCAGAGATCTGAATGCTTATATTTCTATCCACCTCTTTAGATTTCAAGATGCTAAGGAGGAGGGACATTACTTCTATTGGAATTCGGAGGTCTCATGATTAGGGAGCTGCTGTTCAGTTCTGAGGTCAGGAACCTTTTCCATGACTGACACAGTAGTAGCCTCACCAAGAGCACTGAGTTACGGTCAAATCAAGAGTACACTGGAGCCACCTCAAACCTACTCAGAAGGGCAAGCTGTTAAATTTTCAGCATGAGCATTTATACCTTGGAAGGCAAATGTACCAACCAAGGCTTGATAGATTGTTTTATTGATTGTATAGACAAGAAATTGAGAAAATATTAATAATACAGATTAAATTTAAGTGTTTCAGCTGAGCACAGGTTGGTTTTTTTTTGGTTTTGGTTTGGTTTTGGGTTTGTTTGGTTTTTTTTTTGGAAAGCTAGTTTTTAAATATTTACTATTACCCAACTCAGCCAAACACCCACAAAACAACATACAGCTGGCCAACCCACAATTCTTAGATAAAAACTAAACATTTGCAGCTCTTTTCAAAAGGCACCTAGACGCTATTCTGAAGATACCAAGGGTGAAATGATAGAACAAATACAGGGGTGGTTCTACTGCTTTTATAGTGCCTTGGAACTAAGACTACACTAACCCTGTAGCTCTTAATTAAACCACGAGCTCTTAATTAAACTGAAAATTAAATGAATTAACTAATTCATTTTCTTTTATTTTTGATTTCTCTTTTTAACTCAATTTTTAAAAAATTTTCAGTTCCAAATTATCTCCTTCCCTTCATATCCTCCCACATCCATTGAAAAGACCGTATTAGCCATGTTCCAGGAAAAACAAAGAAAAAGAAAAAAGATAAAAGAATATGCTTCAATCTATGCTCTAAGTCCAGAAATTCTCTATCTAAAGGTCAAATGCATTTTTCATCACGGGTCCTCTGGAATTGTGGTGGATCTTTCACAGTTGATTATCTTTATAATATTGTTGTTACTGTGTAAATTGTTCACCTGGTTCTGTTCATTTCACTTTGCATCAATTCATATATGTCCTCCCAGGTTTTTCTGAAACCACATCCTTCATCATTTCTTATAGCACAATAGTATTCCAACACATTCATATACTATAACTTCTTCGGTTTCCCCATACCCTGGCTGATTGGCAAGAGTGTTCATTTTTTTAGCAATGCATACTTAGAGGCTCTTTGTCCTTTCCCCTGACCTCCCCCTTTCATTTGAAGATAATTTCATGTTTCAAGATCAGCACCTAGACAGAAAAAGCTGTGGACTATCTCAGACCAATAATCCCTTAATGAATGTTGAGAGCAGTGATTGCATACCTATTTCTGTAACCAAAATCTGTTCAGTGAAAAGAAAGATCCACTTAGATGAGAGAGTGTCTTACTATGTAGGTGGCCAGTCTAACCATATGAATTATTGGTTCTTATTATTAGGATGAAAAGATGTTTAAACAGTGTCCATTCTAACCACCTGCCTGGTTTCTCTACATCAAGCTCATTCCTTTCCAGAATGAATGATGTCATATGTAACACACACTAGTGGGTTAAAAACAGCAAACAATCAGTGGAGAAAAATAAGAGCCCATAATTGCATAAGCATAAGCTCATCTCCTCCATCTTCAGTCTCAGTTCTATTTCCATGAGGCGACAATTTCTGAGATACAAATAATGAGTAGATTAGCCATAACCTGCACAGAGAATGGGTCTGCTGTTTAGTTGCCCTGGCCTAAATAACCAGTATTTCAAAAACTAAATTTGCAGTTACACTTTCAAGATGCATATAGTTCAATTCATGCTGTGCACTCTAGCGATATCATAGGAGGTTTTGCCCTGGCAATCCAAGAACTTTAAGGAACATATAAAAACCAGAACTAGCCATGGAAAATACAACAAGCCTTGATAATTCCCAGACCTTTATATGAAATGAATTCTTTGCTTCTTGGGGAATTGTTCCGTTATATGTCACCAAGGATCTGGCTACGTGTGATTAATCTCTGTTCTAAAGTGATGTAATGGCTAGGTTACCAGACTTAGAATTAGGCTGACCTGAGTTTAAATTTGACCTTAGGTGCCTGCCTGCTGTTTGCTGTTGTTCAGTAGTTTCAGGAGCATTGGATGCTTTGTGATGCCATTTGGGGTTTTCTTGGCAGAGATACTGGAGGGGTTTGCCATTTTCTTCTCCAGCTCATTTTACAGATGAGGAAACTGAGGCAAACAGGGTTAAGTGACTTGCCGAGGGTCACACAGCTAGGAAGCATCTGGGCCAGATTTAAACTTAGGAAGATGAGTCTTTCTGACTGCAGGCCCAGCACGCCATCCACTATGCCACCTAACTGCCCCAAATCTGGGCTAAGGCACTTAGTAGCTATATAACCCTGGGTAGGACACTTAACCTTTCTCAGTCTCAGTTTATTATTTCATATTATTGTGATAATAATACCTGTAGCACTTGTCTTATTAGGTAATTAGTTGTAAGAATCAAATGAGATAATATATTAATAGAGTCTTGCAATGTTCAAGGCATTTATAAATGTGGATAGAGTACTGGATTTGGAACCAGAAGGACCTGAATTCAAATCTGTTCTTAGGTGCTTAGTAGCTATGTGACCCTGGGCCAGCCACTTAACCTCTCTGTCCCTCAGTTTCCTCATTTATAGAATGGGGATAATAAGAGCACCTACCTCCCAGGGCTGTTGTGAAGATAAAATGAGATCATATTTGTAAAGTACTTTGCAAACCTCAAAGCGGTATATACATGCTATTAGTAGTACTAGTAGTCTAGTAGACAGAGATGAACAACGAAAGAATATACTTCCAAAAACATCAGTGGCATTTAAGAAATTATGCTGACATTTAATATGAAGTGGTTGGCCTCTGAGTGGAGCAGGCCCTTTGGCACATACACCCATGCTCCACATTCCAGCTATTAAGCCTAATTTAGGCCCCTTAAGCAAGAATATAAATTAATCAACTCATTGCCTTAAGGTCATTGAGGAGACAAATGTTCATTCCAACAGCTCTGTGTCCAGTTCCCTAGCAGGAAATGCCAATTGAGATCCCATCTTACCCAGGTCTTTGAATGAGACTCTGGCCTAGGATAAGTGACATTATCAGTTCAGAAAGACCCCCAGGAAGTTATCACCCTTGATTCCCAAGATTCAGAAGGAATCTCTGACAGTTCTGAGGCCCAACTAGTAGTTTAAAAAAATCACAGGATCTTAGAGCTGCAAACAGTCTTGTGGTCCAACTGTCTTTACACAGATTAGGATACCATACACCTGAACCATAGCAATGCATACTTAGACCATAGACATGAAATGACTTGACCAAGGTAATCTGGTAGCATGTTGGTAAATGTTCAACAACCCTCTCGATGAAAACAAATTTAGGCAAGACACACTTTTCACTTTAATCTGTATTATTAACATTTTTGTGTGTTCCCACTGAAAATTTAACAACTAAATTTAACAATCCAGCACACCCCTGCCTGAAAGCTAGGTGGTGCAATAGATAAAGCACTGGACCTAGAGTCAGGAAGTCCTGAGTTCAAATACAGCCTGATGCTTACTAGCTATGTGACCCTAAGCAAGTCACCTAACTTCTGTTTGCCTCAGCTTCCTCCCCCCCTAAAACGAGAGTAATAACAGCACCTACCTCACTGGGTTGTCAGGGGGATAAAATGAAATAATAATTGCAAAACAGATGCCCGGTACCTGGCACACTGTAAGCATTATATAAATATTAGCTATTGCTGTTGTTATTATCAAAGCACTCTACCTCCCTGAAGTCTATTCCAGCACAGATTATAGGATCCCAGACTTAGAAGATGAAGGGGCCTTACAAGGCATCTAGTCTAACCCCACATAAAGAATTTAAGTGACTTGCACTAATTAAATAGGGAGCAACCCTAGGCCAGTGCTGGGGTGATTAAGCCCTCCAAAGGACTGTGATCTGATCTCCCTGAGGCCTTCAGGCCAGGAATAATTTATGCTTAACAGAAGGAAGAACTTCCTTACCATTAGTATTATCCAAAAACGGAATGGGCTGCCTTAGGAAGTAGCCATTTCTACATGGTGGAAAGGGGGCTGAGAACGATGAGAGTTGGACCTAGAAGAAATGGGTTCAAATTTTTGTTCTGCTACTTACCATCTGTGTGACCTTGGACAAGTCACCTAACCTCTGAGGGCCTCAGTTTCTTCATCAGTAAAATGGGATGGTTGGGTTAAATGTTCTCTCAGGTCCCTTCTATAATCCTATGATCCTTACTAGAAGCCTTCCAAAGAAGGCTAGATGACTCTATATCAGCGATGTTTAAGCTAGAGGCTATTGGTCCTTCCCAATTCTGAATTTTTGTGATTCAGCTATATTGATGCCTCAGTAATATTCTTATTGAGAGGTCAAAGAAAAGACAAAGGTAGGAAGGAAAACTGCCAAACAACAGGCTTGTGTAGGCACTAAGGGGTCAGTCATTCGCCTGGGGGTGTTTGGAGTTTTGTAAACAGACTACCCCTGTTATATTCTAGTAATCACACTTGGAATTTGCTACAAACTATTTCGCCAGGGGCCCCAGCCAGCCAGGTGCCTGAGAGTGCCTGACCAAACCAGATAATTCTCTGTTCCCCCTGCCCTGTCCTCTGTCACGATGCCTCCTGCTAGCTCCCAGCAAGTTTGTTGTATGGTAAACTGTTTTTCTTTAGTTTCCCCCTAATATCCCTCAGGGCCACCTTCAGTGCCCCAACACTCTCTCCTTTTCCCTACCATCCAGTAAAATATCTGACTTTGGTTATTTTCACCTCAATATTTGCATGTAACAGGCTCCTGAATAAGTAATGAATGACCTTCCAGAGGTATGGTCCTACCCACATGTTCACTTGGACCCTGATCCCCAATTGTGAACTGCAAAAGATTTTGTCCCTTAAAGGAATGTCGCCTCAGCCAGGAGGCAGATGAGGTTTCTGAAGGCCTTGGGGGGGGGGGTGGAGTACAAAAGTGGGAGAGGGAAATCCTTGGGCCCCTGAAATCCTATCCTGCAAGCCACTGCTATCCCTGCTTATCTCACTAAAGTCTTTTCCATCCCTTGCTCTATGGAAGGCTACCAGGAAGGAAAGGCACTAAGTTTCTGCCGGCTAGAGTGGTGAGAGTTAATTCTAGACCAGCCTCTTCCTGTACCACACTGCACCGCACCCCCGCCAACCAGCTAGCCCTGCTACTCCTCAAAGGTGACTTTACTCCTCACTCATGGGCAAAAGCACAAAGCTGCTCCTATTCAGCTAGGATAAGACTCCGTGAATGGCAGTACCAAGTACCACCAACTCATGCTAAGCCCCAAACAACAAGGTAGACAGGTATGCCTCCTCGCCTCAGGGAGTCGGGTTTCTGTTTTTGAAACTGATGCAGCAGTGACTTGGCTCTGGCTTGCTCTGTTTACTCCTAGGTCTGTAGCCTCAGTGATGGTGTCCAATTTCCTAAGCTACTATTGTCACCAAGACAAGGCTGTGCCAACACCATTATGCACAAAGAATAAATTAACCTGTGCATTCCTTGACCTCTGTCCTCCCCCAGCCAGGCTACCATACCAACAGTCCATTCCCTTTTCTCTTATGCCCTTTACAATGCAGGGTGCCACCTGCTCAGAAGGTCTTCATTCCATCCCAAGAAGAAATGTCAAAAAGAACAACCACCTGCTACGATCTCCCCGCCCCCCCCAATATTTTTCTCCCACTTTTAGGCTTCTGGCTGGATCAGCAGACTTGCCCAATTCCTTAGTGTTATATTTAGAATGGAAATATACCTCCCCACCCCACCCCCACATACCTTCCAGGAGGAAAAAGAGTCGCCTACCAGGCCCACCTGCTCCACAGGCAATCAAAATGTATCTGGAGCTCCTTTTCAAAGACATTTCCAAAGTCAGAGAACTCCAGGGACTCACAAGTGTAAAGTCAACAGCAGCCTTCAATATTGAGAATAGAAGCAAAAACCCAAATGTGGTTTAGCATCCCCTCCTGTCCTTCATACCATCCCTAACACTCTCACTCTCACTCGCTCTCTCTTTCTCTCTCTCCACATAAAAGTCCGGTCCAAAGGCATCTTGATAAACAATTCTTACTTTGCTCACTTATGGCAGGGCCATTCTCAATTTCTCTTCCACCTGCCTTACAACTCCCACCCACCACCCCTGCCCTGGTCTTGGGAAATAAGAACTCCCCAATTCTCTCTCTTTTTTTCTTTCTCTGCCATAAAGGCATTCTCCTGCCCTGGCAAGGGAATAGCTGACCTTGGCCACCTCTGCTCAGGGGAAAATAACACAGCGTTAAGCTCAGGGAGCTCAGAAAGGAAAGCAATGTTACAGAACTCTGACGTTAGGTACCAAGAAAAGGAAAACAGAGAGAACTCAAAGCACACAACCATCGCGCGGCTTCAGGCTCGGCCCCCACCTCGGCTCGGCTTTTGAGGCTGCTTCGCTTAGGTCTGAGCAAGACATCTTTAAAGTCCAGTTTGAGGTCTGCATCTACCCGAGGCATCTTGTGGGATCCGCAGGAAGGATTTCTCTCTCTTTCTCTCTGCCAACCTCTCCCTTTTGGAACCTGGGAGAGCAGGGGCAGGGGCGGCTCTGAGTGGCTGCCTGCTGGGGTCAGCTGCGGCCGGATCTCAGGGCTGCCCGCCGGGGCTGACGGTCTGTGATCCGCGAGTGTTTACAGGGAGGCCGGCCGCTCCATCGCTTTATTAGGAGAGGGCTGTTTTTAGAACCGGCTTCTGCAGAGCGCACGCCCGGCCGCTCGCGGTCTCCTGTTTCCTGCTCGGGCTCTCTCAGCTGCTGGCTCACTCTTCCTCCCTCCTTCTGTCCCTCCCTCCCTTCTTTCTTCCTTCCCCTCCCCCGCCCCCCTGTCGTCGCCGTTCCCTCCAAATGGAGCGGAGTGTGAGCCAGGGCACTGCAGCAGAGTAATCGATAGCACTGAGTGTGTCTGGAGAACAGGGCTGGGCAAGGATGGTTATCCTACAGGAAGCTCCAGGTTTAAGGACAGGATGATAGTTAAAGAAAAATACATGAAAACAACTCCTGCTGCAACCCTGCCCCCGTCCCAGCAGACAGCACCCCCTCCCCCCAATCTTTCTGTCTCTGGCTATCTCTCGGTTTCTCTGACTCTGTCTCACTTACCTCTCTTTCTCGCCTCCTTATCTTTTTTTTCCCCCTCTCCATCTCTGTCTCCATGTCTCTGTCTCTGTGTCTTTCAGTCTCTACTCTTTCTCACTTGCCTGTCTCTCCCCCTCCCTGTCTCTGTCTTTCTCCCTTTGTGTCTTTTTTGTCTCTCTCTAAATATACATATATGCACACATATATACATATATACACATACATAACACATATTTAATTATAAATTGCATATACATATTTATCTTTATATAGGCACAAACTGTTACACGTTATATGCTCTTATATTTTGTTCCTGTTTAGGTTAAAGGGAAGTATACAAAACCTACTACAGGAAAAATCTCTGTCTCTGTCTCGCTCTTTCTGTATGTGTGTGTGTGTGTGTGTGTCTCCCGTCTTCCCTCCTCTGTGTCTCTACATATATATATATATACATATATATATACATATATATATATAAAATATATGCATAGTAATAGTTATAGTTTTATATATACATATTTATCTGCACGTATGCACACATGGATACACTCTCTATATAAGCTTCCTTATCTTTCTCATTTTGCTTCCTGTTTCAACAGTTTACCAGCATGATACTCTTGTTGAATACTGAATACATATTTTGGCCTAAATGCTGAATACAGTGTCATCTGGTTTTGGATTTGAAGGTAAAGAAGTCTTCCACCTTCTTGCCTATTTTCTAGAGATTTACACAGAGCTCAATTTCTCTGCTAGTGTCTGAGCAGGGCCTCTCACCTGTGAGAAACTCAAGTCCTAACACAGGGGTTCTTAACCTGGGGTCCATATCTGTGGATAGATGGGGGGGTGAAATTCGAGGGAGAAAATACATCTTTATTTCAGTATAATTGGTTTTCTTTGTATTTCATTTCATGCATTTAAAAACATTCAGAGAAGGGGTCCATGACACAAACAAAGTTAAGACCCATGGCTCTCCAGAGTCTGAAGGCAAGTGGGAGAGGATTGAGGAATTCTCACTCCTCTAAGCAAATTAGTAAGGGAATTTTACAAATTCCGTTTTGTTAATGATTAATGCTTCTGCCAAAAAGAAATAAACAAAAGAATGGAGGAGTGGTGAATATAGATCCTGCATATGAGGATTTTCAATGATCCAAGTTTGGAATTTTCTAAGAACCTAGGGGTTTTGTTGTTTTTCCAGTCATGTATTGACTCTTCATGACCCCTTTTTGAGATTTTCTTGGCAAAGATACTGGAGTGATTTGCCATTTCCTTCTCCAGCTCATTTTATAGATGAGGAGACTGAGGCAAACAGGGTTAAGTGATTTGCCCTGGGTCCCACAGCTTTATGATCCCACTAATAGCCAGAAATAGATACAATAAAGTCTTCTTGACTAGATAAAATACTACCAGTTCTCATCTATTAAATAAGATGATTTGGCTAAATGTCCTGTAAGGTTCCGTCTAGCCCTAGATTGACTATCCTATGATAAAGACATACAATAAATAAATTGTGTAACTTTTAGTGTAAATGCCAATGAATAACATTGTGGGGCTAAACAACTCACATGACTTCCTCATCTTCTTCCCTGTTCCTCCTCTCTTCCTCCTCAGCCAAGGGAAACAAAAGACAACAAATTCTAGCCTGTTTCCTGATATTTAAGAGTGTTTTCAAATTAACTGCCCAACATCTATCAGTGTTGCCTTTAAGATAAAACAAATCTGTTGACTTTATAGAATTATGAGCTGGAAAGGATCTTAGAGGTCACCTTATTCAAATCCCATTATTTTACAGATGGGAAACGCACTCATTTAATGATTTCCCCATGTTCACCCAACTTGTAAATAGGAGAAATGGGAATTCTGACTCCAAAGCTAGTAAGTACTCTAACCACTACACTACACAACCTCAAGAGTTTTTTTATTTTTAAAGAACCCAATAATAATCTTCTTTACAATATTTTGCTCTAGTAAGTAAAGCATAATATAACTATAGCCTAGTATGAATATTAAACCAACATAGCCCTCCAAAATACAGCAGATGGACCCCTGGGATTCCTGTAGCTCTTATATGCTAAGATAAACATTTGATACTCTGCCAATGAGAACTCACTAAGATTTCTTAGTTCTTCCTTGTCCTTTTTTCCCTGTGTCATATTTCTCATCTTAGTCACATCCACTCATTCTCTTCCCCCTATCCCCTTCCAATACTACTCTGAAGTCTCACTGTGGCTTGGCAGTGACTATGGGTAGTCAGCAGCTGTGTCAGCAGAGTACACATACTGGCAGGTTCTGCCAAGTGGGAAAAGGTTTAGTGTCAGGCTTGGAGAAGGACTAGGTGTCTTTTGTGTGAGGACCATTCTGGCTGAATTTGGAAAAAGCCATTATCAGAAGGTTGGCCATACTGAAAGAAAATGTTTAGCTACTGCATGTGGAGTAAGGGTCAGAACAGATGAAAAAGGAAGGGAATGGACATTTGTAAGTAATTGGTTGGTTGTCCTTCATGCTTGAGGAGGATCAAAATGACATCACCATGTTGGGGTCAAAGTATAGCGGGTCTGACTGTGGCTGATCAAACCAAAACACTATCAGAAGGCTCCACCACAGGTTGGGTACAAATAGTCCATATGAATGCTGGGAGTGGAGATGTCTCTAAATTTATGCATCTTATGTTTCTTTTGAGCTACTGCAATTCTGCTTTGCTCATAGAGCACAGCACCTGCTTTGATGTGTGCACAGCAGACTGGGCAGTCCTAGAACAGGCTCATTTCTCATAATCGATACCACAGTTCTTTAGAGAGACTGTGAGAGTATCCTTATATTGCTTTTTCTAACCCCACTATGAGCCCTTGTCTTGTGTAAGTTCTCCATAAAATAGTCTTTTAGGCAAACATAAGTTTAGCTTTCGAACAATGTGGCCAGCCCGTCAGAGCTGTGCTCTCTGCAGTAGCATTTGAATCCTTGGCAGTTTAGCTCAAGAAAGAACCCCAATGTCTGGAGTACCTTATCTTGCCAGGTGATCTTCAGAATCTTCTTAAGACAATTCAAATGGAAGCTATTCAGTTTCCTGACACAATGCTGGTAGACTGCCCAGGTTTCACAGGCATACAATAATGAGGTCACAACAATGGCTCTGTAGACCTTCAGTCTGGTAGGCAGCCTAATACCTCTTCTCTCCCACACTTTTTCTTAGGAGCCTCCCAAATGCGAAGCTAACTCTGGTAATGTGTGCATCATCCTCATCATCAGTGTATACATCCCTGCAAAGTATATTGCCAAGGTAAGAAGGGTTGTGAGAATCCCTCAGCAAGTTGGGTAAATTCCCTCAATGATGTCGCTAGATAGAATAGAATATCCAGAAGACAGCACATGAGAGGGGAGGGACTTTCATGGAGAATTTCAGGGATTGATATCATATGTGGTGCCACTAAGGGGCTGGGTTAATGATGCAGAGTATGCTAGCTGCCAGAGGCCTAACTTGGAGTCCTTGTGCTAAGGCAAATTCAGTTGAAGGTAGGCAGGGGATGTGGATGAGATGTTAGCAGAGCAAAAGATGGTAGTCCATTCCAGGGACAGTCGCTCCAAAAGAGGGGGTAAACTATATCCTGGAGAGGCCAAACTGCATCCCTGAAGGACAGTGAGTGCTCTCCAACCCTGAAAACCTCAGAAGAAATACAACCAATGCTCCAAACCTTGGAAAGAAGCAGAGGTGAAGAGACAGCAGGCAGTAGACAGAGGGAATACTGAGAAAACAGGTCTTTGGAGGGGTATATCACATTGATAGTTCCCTGAGAGTCTCAAATTAGAGCAAATGGTCTAGCATAGTCCTCCTTAAAGATATGAATAGTTTTCAGAGGACTGCTGTGAGAAGGAATAATTCTCTCAGTTGGCACCCTGGGACAAAGCCCTGGCCATCTTATCCTATTACAGGTCTGCTAGCTGCTACAGTTTCCCATTCCATCTTGCAGCATAAGCTAGTTGATGGGGCCACCATGCCATTTGTACAAACTGTTGGAGTAGTATGATTCTTTGGAGTAGTCCAACACAGGGGAGGATTTTATGTTCCAAAAATATCAATGAATCTTAGATTCAAGACCATGTAGAAGTTAATACAAGGTGCATTTAAATGAAAGAAAACCAAGGAAATATTTGAACCAATGACATTTGGCTAACACCCCTTCTCCAATACGCACGAAAATGTAGGAATTATTTCTGAGGCACAGAATTATATCAGCAGAAACATTCTGTCTGGTCATTTTGATCTCCGCATGCAAAAACAAAGAAGCATTGGCCCAATCTAAAAAATGACTTTTCAATTTACAAGTTGAAAACTACACCAGGGAAGTAGATGTGACTATGAATTCCCTGAAATTTACTCCCTGTATCTTCATGGTGCAGGTCAGTTGGTTAAAAAGTATATTTATTTACAAGACTTGTCTGATACTACTCCATTTGTCTTTGGAGCATTCATGTTCAAAGTTGGCTATTTTAAGAGCTGCTTAAAACTTGTGCTCCGGGAGATAACCCAATTTGGAACAAATTGAGTATTAAAACCTGCTTTTTAAAATTATAGCATTATTACTGTATCTGTGGATATATATCTATATCTATATCTATCTATCTATCTATCTATCTATCTATCTATCTATCTATCTATATATGGAGTCTGTTCTCCACACATATTCTTAACTCTGATGATGTGGCAGTGGAAAGATGGGCAAAATATGCAAAGAAGAGAGGATAATCTTCTAAAGGGAGGCCCCAATGGTAATCTTCTCTCTGTGACTTTTGGTTTGACAGGTTTTGTTCAGTAATTTCATTAGAAACATTCTTGCACATTTACATGGATAAACATTCCACTTTAAATAAATTTAATTACCTACCCTAATACTGAATGACTTAAGAAACCTTCTCCAGCTTTTCTGTGCCTTGATTTTCTCATAATGCTTCATCTCAGAGTCATTGTTTTGAGGGAAATTTAATCAAGCTCCCTTGTAAACACATGGCAGCATGGTGTAGTCAGAAGAGGACTGGACATGGGATCAGGAAGGCCTTAGTGAGATTCCTGCCATAGATACTAGTTGTATGCCACTGGACAAGTCATTAACCTCTCTAAGCCTCAGTTTCTTTATCTGTAAAACTTGCAATAATAGTGGCATATATCTTTTGGTTTTTACACTGCCTAAATTTCTCCCTAAATCTCTCCCCCTTTGTCTTCGAGAGATCTATGGCTTATAACAAAGTTGGGGGTTTTTTTAAGTAAAGAAAAAGAAAAAGTAGAAGAGAAAAAAATCAGCAAAACCAATTGATACATGGAAAATATCTGGCAACATGCTTTGCAAAACTTTTTAGCACTAAATGTCATCTATTATCAGTACTTTAAAAAAAATCAGTGGGGCAAAAATCATCTTATTTAGTCTATTAATTTTCCAGCTACATGCCCATAATTAGCTATTTCCTCTTCTTCCCTTTTCTCACTTAGCACACCACCTTCATCTCCATTCACTGCCCTCCATTTTGCTCATTTTAACTGAATAGATGCCTTTATTTACCAAAAAGTACATTCACAACTCCCCTTCAAACACTGACTCCCATGAAAAAAAAAAAAAGTAAAGGCAGCTAGGTGGTACAGTGGGTAGTGCTGAACCTGGAGTCAAGAGGACCTAATTTCAAATCCTACCTCAGACACTTAACCAACTGCGTGACCCGGGACAAGTCATTTGACCTCTGGCAACCTTGGTTTCTTCATCAGTAAAGTGGGGATAATAGCTGCACTACTTTCCAAAGTTGTTGTGAGGATAAAATTAGATAGTATTTGTAAAGTGTTTTGCAGACTTTTAAATGCTAACTGTTATTATTTTTAAAAGAAAGAAAAGTTAAAAAGATAGGAAGAGTGAATGTTATATCCATTTGGGGACAGTAGATAGATAGATAGATAGATAGATAGATAGATAGATAGATAGATAGATAGATACATAGATACATAGATACATAGATACATAGATACATAGATAGATACATAGATACATAGATAGATACATAGATAGACAGACAGACTAATCAATAGATAAATAGGCAGACCAATAGATATAGATATATAGACAGATCTATAGATAGATCTATAGGTAGATAGATGTACAGATCACTAGATAGATGTATAGATCACTAGATAGATGTATAGATCACTAGATAGATAGGCCAACCAATCAAATAATCAATAGATAGACTGGTAGATATAGATCTATAGATAGAGGGATAACTAGATAGATCCATGTAAAGATAGATTAACAAATGATAGACAAATAGGTAGATCAATCAATTGATAAACAAGCAGACCAGTAGATATAGATCTATAGATAGATAAATCTATAGTTCACTAGATAGATCATTGTAGAGATAGATAGATAGATAGATAGATAGATAGATAGATAGATAGATAGATAGATCATTAGGTAGACAAATCTATAGACAGATCGATGACAGACAGACAGACAGACATAGATAGATAGATAGATAGATAGATAGATAGATAGATAGATAGATAGACAGATAGATAGATATACAGATAGATAAGTGCTTACTATGTTCCAGTCACAGTGTTAAGTTCTGAGGACACAAATACTAGAAAACAAGAAACTCCTAGCTAATAAAAGGTGACAAAACATAGCATGGAGCTGGAAACCCAGCAGTGTGGGGTTGGGGAGGGTGCCCATTCCTGGTGAGAAACAGTGATCTGGTTAGAGCTGGGAATGAAGGGAAGCAGTGTGTCTGGGGCCTCTCATGAAATGGTACTCCTGGCTAGGGATTTGCTCACTGCCTTAGTTAGATTTGGCCTGTCTTGCGTTCTTATAGGACTACATGGGCACAAACTCATTTTTAAGACAAAATTATTGTCAGTAAAGCTCTTTGAGTGTGGAGAGTTACTGTACAAGTGGCATATGCCATGATCTTGAACGTGACAAGCAGCTGACAGTTACAGAAAGTTTCAAAAATATTCTCTCAGAAAGTCATCAAAGAGGGGGAACAAAAAGCCTAGTAATTAAACAGCCCAAGTTTTAATGGTCACCTCTTTAAAAATTTTTTTCAGAAAAGACAAGCCAGGCTGCAGTTTGGGGCCTATCTTGGAACCCTTGCAAGCAGATAAGCTGTCAATGTATTTAAGTTGTTAACAAGTAGCTAGTTTTGTGCCAATATTTCCAGTCTTCTAGCACCACGTTCCAGCCTGTCTTCCCTCTCTCAGTTCCTGTGGCTGTGGATAGTGAAGAAGATATTCTCTCCTATGTTATTTACTCTGTCGGTGAGTTAAGTGGCAGCTCAGCATAGCATTTTATCTGTGAAATCTTGTCTTTCAACTATACAGTTGTCATTCTAGCTGAGGGATAAATTGAGGAGGTTAGGTGGGTCATGGCATTACTAGGTTCAATTTAACTCAACTACCCAATTTCCATTAAGGACAGACTGTGTACAGAGCACTGTGTGAAGCACTGGTGGGGAGAGAGATACAAAATTTGGCTAGGACTGTAGGACTGTAGCACGGGTCCTTATGGGCCCAAATGCATAAATAGCTCAAATATATGATAACATATTAAGTCCAAAACAAAGTGTTGTGTGGGCTTAGAGGGAGAAGGTTAACATGAACAGGGAGATCAAGGAAGATTTTCTGGCAGCAGTAGCATTGGAGCTGGTCAGCACGGCATAGTAGATTGAGAGGAGGCCTCAAAGTCAGAAAAACTTAGGGCTCAGTCCTGTCTCTGACATCTACTGGCTAGGTGACTCCAGGTGAATCATTTAACCTTTTGATGGCTCTAGGAAACTTTCTAAGACTAAATTGCAGAGAAAGAACCCACCTGAATTAGTAGATGGAGTTTCTTCACAAGGGAGTTCCCTACATAGTTCCTCTTCCCCTTTAAGAATGGTTAAGAATTCAATACTGGAAAAGGAAGGTGGTCAAACCACAGGGAAAAACAGAACCAAGGCACAAAGTTTGGGAGACTACAGATGACAAAGCCAAGTCCCAGAGAGTTCAAGTGATTTGCTCATAGATAAACTGGGATTTGCACTCAGATCTCCTGTGACTCAAGGTCAATTTTCCTCCCACTGCCTCATGTAGGAGTGGTTAAAAAATTATATTAAAATTATTATTGAAAGTTATAATTAAACATTAGAAAGTGGATCAGTTTGTCTGGGACATATAGTTTGTAGAGGGATGGAATAGGAGATAAGGCTGGAAAGGTAGGGGATTACTATACTGTGGAAAGCCTTGAATGCCAGGCAAAAGAC